CTTAAAATCTGGTAAAGAAATAAAACGTGATGATGATTTTCCTTAGGCAGAAAATTGTGAAATTAAACAGATTCTTGCTGATTTCTTCTGAGGGACTGGAGAAGGCTATCTTCTCAAAAAAGTATCACCTTTGTAATGAGACTATCCAGAAGCCTGACCCTAGGACTTCCTGCCAAACAGACCTTTATGCRAATTGGGAGAAGATGCCCTAACTGGCACAGGACAGAACAAAAAAGTAATAACCCCAGCAAAAACAGCACTGCCCTTCCACTCTTGACAAAATCTCACTCACACAGGTAAAAATATCAGAATCTGTTGATTATTGCCTAAAATGCATATTTCAGTGCTTCTAAGGGTGGTCTGTAGACCAGTGTTATCTTATGAAGTCTTTGTTACCAGTCTGCAAGATTAAGTATAGAAATTGAGAATATAAAGAAACTTTTAAAGCGATTCAATCTCAGTGCAACATTTTTATTATATTTATAAAGTGCCAGTCTGCAAAGAATTGTAAAATTAAAAAATTCATCCTTTAGTTTAAAAAGCACTACCTTATCACAATTTTCAAAAGAAAAAAGCCACTTCCTGTTTTAGAAAGAGAATCCTGGGGTGTTTCCTCTTCTTGTACAGTTCCATGTACCAAGTACCTTTTCAAAGTGCTTACACTTACGAACACACAGAGGAGGGGCAACCAAAAAATACAACTACCAATGTAAATGGTCTCACAAGCTGGTAGAAGCATTCCCTTGTGAAATATAAACCAAGTGGAAAATGAATTTTATTCATTTACCATTTGCTGATTAAATATACTCCAGTGATGAGCTTTTAACCTACCCAACATGTTTAACTATAGCTAAAGGGAGTTTGTGATAAGAGAGATGTAAATATTTGTCTTTCCTATTTGTCCATGAAGATACCAATGTTTTATAACAACATCCYCTCATCTCTGATCCTTTTTTACATAAGGGAGTCATAAATGAACTATATGGAACCATGTCATACTAAAACTTCCAGAACACACAAGTAGTTTTCTTCCCCCTCCTCACAAGTCAGTTTGTACTGGATGCTTCTCATCATCTCTTGGGGGCCTTCTAAGAAGCTCTCAGTCCAACAGAAAAACTGGCACCTGAAAAAAGTACCTGTATGTGCCCAGCAGCAGACATAGCTGAGACGCCACATGTTCCTGGAGTAGTTCCCAAGTTGTTTCCCAGATTTTGCTTACGGGGATACAGTGGCAAAAAAAAAAAAAAAAAAAAAAAAAAGAGAACCACCAGAATCTCAGGCTGTGTCTATCCTAATAACTGTTGAAATATGGCAAGGTGCCTTGGAGTGAGTCATACATTGTCCATAAAGCATTCTAGGGTCACTTACTTGTACCTCATTCCACCATCTCAAAGTCGTGGAGAGCAACATATAAGACACTATCTGATACTTCACTTATAACCACCACCTGCAATTTGATATTCTCCTTGAAGTTTCATAAGTTAGGGACAAGAAAATAGTCCTGGTGTACAAATAAGATGTTTCGATGGGAAAAATATTTCTATACTTTAGCAACGCTTCTTAGAACATGTTCCTATTTTTTTTTTAAAGAGAGAGAGAGAGAGGGATAGAAGAGAGAGAGAGAAAGAGAGAGAGAGAGAGGGATAGAAGAGAGAGAGAGAGAATTTTTTTAATATTTATTTTTCAGTTTTCGGTGGACACAACATCTTTATTTTATTTTTATGTGGTGCTGAGGATCGAACCCAGCGCCCTGCGCATGCCAGGCGAGTACATTACCGCTTGAGCCACATCCCCAGCCCCATGTTCCTATTTAAAAAAAAAAAAAACAACTACTTGTGCAGAAATGGACTTTAAAGCCATCTAGAGTAAGATGAAAGCATTTAGAGCAAGCACTTTTTTATTTAAGAAAATTCTCTTTACCGAAATTCCCAGGAATCATTACAAATGAGTCAGTGACACTCACTGATGACAGCAAAATGACTTAAAAACCTCCTAAGACCTGATGATATTAATTATAAGGATTGGCAGATTGATTAGACACAGAAATTTGATTTTTTAAACAGAAAGTGGTATTTTCCACAATATCAGTTAGGAAAATAACCTTACCATTCCACATGTTGCCCACCTGTCCTGTGCTCATCCATACTGGCTCCTGAGCCTCACCATTTCCACACAGCAGCAAGTGTCTGCCAACACATTTCATGAGCCTCAAGCGTAGAGACAGTAGGTACACTCCTGGCTGCTCTACAGAACACTTTAGTCCAGGGGTAACTGAGAATATGTGTAAGTGGTTTTCCATTCACTTATAAACTATGTTGCAATTAAGCATAAATATAATACAGATGAGCTTTCATTTTCTTGGCCTAAAGAAGTATGATAAGAGTGAAGCAAAAGTGAATTAACCAATTATTTTGGGAAAATAACATAGAATTTGCTATAGTACTTAAACTCACTTAATTTTTAATTTTTTTGTGCATCTGGGGATTGAATCCAAGGCCTCACACATGCTAGGCAACCATTATACCACCAAGTTACATCTCCAGCCTCTGAACTCACTCAATTTTGTGTCTAGCTATTTTAAAAAATTGTGATTAAAAATAGGATTTGAAGGAAAGTGAATATTATTTGTCAATTAAAATAAAAATTTTAAAAACCAAAGTGAATGGCTATGAAGTATATCTAAATATTTAATTATGATAAGCAATACTCACCTGTGATAAGAAACCTATAGACAATTTTAAATCCATGAAAATAGACATTATAATATATATATTTTTAAACAATAACTGATTGTGTTAAACAGCATGAAATATATCTTGAAAACAGAATAATACAGCGTTAGGTACTTACTTTTTAAGATAAAACTATTGCTGATTCTGGAATTAGTCACCTACTTATTCATACATATACAGATTTTGAAGGGTTAGTTATCAATTAAAACATATTTACCTTCACTGGGCACGGTCTCACATGCCTGCAATCTCAGTGACTTGGGAGGCTGAGGTAGAAGGATTACAAGTTTGAGATCAGCCTTGGGAACTAAGCAAGACTCTCAGCAACTTAATGAGACCCTGTCTCAAAAAAAAAAGTACTAGAGCCATAGCTTGGTGGTTCCTCCATACCAAAAAAGAAAAAAAAAATTACCTTCTTTGATGTGAAATTCTCAACATTTGCAGAGTATTCAGAAAAGTTTTAGATTTTTTTTTCTTCCCCAAGACCAGCTTGGACAGAATTGAAGTTATTTTTCTTTGATCTTACTAAAATAGTAAGTAAGAATAATAGCAAACATTTCCATCTAAAATTTATCTGCAGTAAAATCCAAGGGAAATTAGCCCTGATCCAGCTGCTCCTCTCTCCTGCAGGACAGGCTTTACCATCTCAGCTGGATTTCCCATATCTTAGAAGGCACTGGGCTTTCACTTGACTATCTGCAGTGGAAAAGACTTTTGGTTCAATATTATGAAGACCCTCATGGTCACCCTGATGGCCCTGAATTAATAATTTCATGGGTACCTTCCAAATGATAGTGTTCCTAAGTTGGACCTGGAAGTCACTTACAGTTACTGTTTTACTTTAGAGACAAAATAACCATGATATTCCAGAGACATTTGGTCATCTAAACCTCCCTCATATTGGACTTCTCCACTGAGGATCTTTTGAGCTCAGAGAATATTCTCAGATGTGATAAAAGTATGCAAAAGTAAAAGAAATCCCAGTGTCAAGTGTGGAATTAAACTTGCCTCCTAAAGTCATCTTAAAGATGAAAAAATGCATTGGGGAGGGTTAAATGCACTGTGGTGATAGCTGCACAATAATGTCACTGACTATATACTTGAAGATGGTTCAAATGGAAAATGTTATGCTATGCATATTTTAACAACAAAAATTCATTCTTGAACTAATATCCATAACTCCTCATCAGTATGGCCACACAGCCAAGATTTAAGAAACTTATTCTAAAATCAGAAAAAGACAAGGGCATTATGTTTTAATTTTTTCCATAGGTTTATCACCATTTAGGTTATGAAATGCATTTAAATGTTGACACYGCACAGATAGTTTATTGTTGGCATTTAAAAGTGGTGCCAGTGGTTGCCCAGCTAGCCCAGTCAGTAGCACATGAGACCCTCCAAAGTGGTGCTACTTTATATGTAGCTCTTTCTGGCTACTCAGTTTGTTATACTCATTAAATAAAAAAAAAGGAATAACAATAACAAGAACAACAACAACAACAACAAAAAACAAAGCACTCAATACCTCCACCCTGAAAGCCTTCTGCTTGGGTACCTTCCCAAAACATTGCCACTATTTAAATGTCATCCTTATTTTCACTGTATTGAAAAGTGCTTTTTCACAATTTGGTCTTGACCCCCTATCTAAAGAATTCTTGCCCCATGCCCTCCTGCCCCCACAACACACAATCAGGATAAGTGTACTGGGTTGATTGATGTCACACAGTTATAGGCTGCCAATCCTAGGGAAAAAGATTTTCCTTTCATTCCTGGACGGATATGGAAATGATTACACTGGTTAAGGAGATCCAAAGTGAATAGTAATATGCAAAAGCCAGATAGGCACCTAACAGTTCCATTGGAGCCAAAAATTCAGAGCAGCAATTCCATAAATATTAGTCACAGCCACCTACAGCAGGTTGTCACCATGTCTACTTGTGAAAAGAATAGTGAAGTTCATGCTTTCTTGGTCACAGTAATATAGCAAGGGGGGCATTTCTGACACTGTCAATTATATGGTTGGGGTTATGCAAAACCATGGACATGTCCAAGCCGGAAGGGGCTGTGGAAGTTAAGTCAGAACTCTTGTTTTGAGTTGCTAACAAGGTAACACAAAGCCCCTTGATCTGAGTTTATTAACTTTCAACCAGAAAACAAAATGACAGGGGGCACTGTTGGACATCTTGGTTTTGTAATACATACAATTGATCATCTCCATTGCAAAACAATGTGAATATTAATTTCATATGCTTCAGCATTTAACATACCTTTTTTATTTATTCAAGAAACAATACAATCATGGGATAATGTTAGTGCCAAGCATGTTGTTAAGTAAGTCACTTATTTGTCATAAAGGAAGTTGTAATTTTGAAGTGAAATGTCATTACAAGATTTTAAAAATTATTTTGAATTTATTGAAATTCAAGAGATGAGCAAGGCATCTCCAAAATAAAGATTTCCAAAATGACTAAAAAAAGTATTTCCAAATAAAATAAAAATTAGTCAATCTGAGAATACTAGGCTTCTGTTGCTCCTGTAACATATTACATCATACTCAAGTGATTTAACCATTGAAGCTATTACCTTAGAGTTCTGCAGATTTCATCTGACCTGGGTCTTGCTGGGTTGAAATCAAGGTGTTGGCAGGGCTGTGCTCCTTCTGGAAGTTCTAGGAAAGAGTCTGTCCCTGGTCTTTCCCAGCTCCCAAAGGCCCTGCATTCCTTGGCTCATATCCCCTTCCTCTTCCCAAATCAGCAATGTGCATCTCTCTGACTCCTCTTCACATTCTCCTCTGACTGACACTTTTCAGATTCCCTTTTCCACTCTTAAGGACCCTTTCAATGACACCAGGCACACCTAGAGAATCCAGAATAATTGCCCCCTTTCAAAGTCAATGGTTAGTATCTCAATTCCAATTATAACCTTAATTCTCCTTTGCCATTTAACCCAACATAATCCCAGGTTCTGGGATTAAGATGAAGATACCTTTGTGTCTGGGCATATTATTCAGCCTACCACAAWGAGTTTCCAGTCATTACATACACATGTAGATATAAGCTAAATATACTACAGTTTAATATTTTTGTGACAGTTCAGTAATTATCATTCAGTTGCCTTAATCTATAGAATTTATCATTTTTATCTAAATAAAACCAATTAAGCTGGCCAGATATAACAGTAACAAAAAAAGTAATACATAAAACAAATTATACAATATTACAAAGTAGTGATTATTTGTGGGTGTGTGCCAAATGTGCATATATGTATATATAATGTTTACATTTATATATACATATACACATAATTTTAATGTTAATCAAATGGTTCTAGAAAATTAATATATAACAAAGATTCCCATGAAGGTGATGCTTACAACATATGGCATGTTTATGACAATCTTGAACCAGCCCAAGATGAGAGTCTTAATAACACAAAGGTCAGAGATGAAGAAACTCTTTCCAGGTTAGCAATTTTTCCATACATTTTTTCTTCTTGTTTTTTTTCTGTTGTCCATACTAAATTTCCTTGTGGCTTAAAGGCCTGCCATTATGTGAAGTTGCCGAACCTCTTACAAACAAGGTCAAACCACCAACCACCAAATAAATCAGTGCAGCTGTTCCAGGGGAAATCACTGAAAAATACAGGAAAATCATCCTGCACCCAGTGTACCTGAACTCCAGAGAAAAAGGTCCTGATTCCTTCCATAGCTGAAACACTAGCTTTGGTTTCCGAGAAATACTTTACTTGTGTGACSGCTGTCTTTGACAAGAGCCAGTGCCCCGCCCACAGCAGACTTAAAAGACAGGAATGTGATAGTGACGGTCATTCTCAGTCAGCAGGGAGATCTCTGGCCACTCCCTGAGAGGCTCCTCTGGATACCAGACTGCAAAGTCTCTGGAGTTAAACTTGAACAGTCGGAACACTTTTATCTTTACTTCAAGGGAGTATCCAAGTATAAACATATCAATCTGGGGATGAGATAAAAAAAAAAAAAAAGAGGTCACAAACACAAATTTTCAAATTCCTACCTCCCACCATGGTGGGGGGAGTGTTTTTCTGCAACTTATAAAATAACCTACTTGTCTACAGACCCACCCATAAGCCAGTGAGTGGGCAGACTTAGGAAAAAATGTCCATTGTGCACAAGGAAGGGGACAAGCGTAGGAACATCCCTCTAGACTAGTATGAAGAAATCATAGGAAAAAGCTGTTCAGAAAAAAACTTGAAAAAGAAAGGAATGCCCACAATTAGAAATTACACTGTTTTCCAACCAGCCTGACCTCATTCCAAATTAATTTGTGTAAAAATGTCAGATAACTTGATTCACCTTCTAGGAAAGCAAATCCAAAGAAAACAGAAACCCTTTTCCACAAGGAAAAAAAATATGGATTTAAACGTTTCAATAATTTCTATTCATCTGCAATAGGTAAACAAATGCTTTCCTGAAGCAATCTCATTTTCCAACTGGACCTCTTCTCCCGTGTGTGTGGGAGAACCTGTTGCCAGTGTGAGAAGTCAGCAAGACCAGAACTGGCACTCACCAGCCAAGGGTCTGCAGACAAAGGGGCAACAAGCAAACTTATTACTCATCTTTTCCTCATCTGGGGCCAATAATATCCACAAACCACCTCTGTGTAGCTGGTTTTATCAAAAGTGAGCCCCACAGGCCTACGTGTTTTGAGTACTGCCCTATCACCCTTAACCAAACACACGTGGTTCTACTTCCCCATTTACCTGGTCTAATCCACACGTGTCACCTACAGAATTCAAGTGATTCATCATAAAGCTCAAAGGATCTGATGATGTCTCCCTGGAAAACAGGAGTCTAAAAAGACTGGGAATGATCTTGTTAGTCTTCATTTGTTCATAAACTTCAGTGACTTGATATAGCATGATGAACTTTAAAGCTTCATAAAGTTTATGTTCCAGAATGACATCAGAAAAAAGGATGTTACACATACTTCCTCTCTTGTGATAATCTTTAATTCCACTAAATTCGGTCCACTAAAAATTTAGATGCAAAAACGAAATTTAGAAGGGTAAAAGTGAATGCATGCACCATTACATAATTTTCTAAGTATTGAAAAATAAGCCAAAGATTAAGAAATGAAAGTAGAACTTTAACTTGTCACTTTATATTTTTTGGTGCTGATTTGTTTTAACTGTAAGCATGCTACAATGGACTGAATGTGTCTACTCTCCCAAATCCATACACTGAAGCCTAACCTTGTGATAACATTAGGAGGTGAGACCTTGGGATGGCAATTAGTTCACATGGTGGGAGCCCTCACGAATGGGGTTTGTGCCCTGATAAGAGGCCAGAAAACTAGGTAGTTCTCTTGCCATGTGAGGACATGCAAGAAGATATCTATAAGAAAGGAAGAGGGCTATGCCCCTGCTAGCACCCTGATCTGACTTCTACCTCCAGAACTGCAAAAAATAAATGCTTGTTGTTTAACCCCCCCCCCCAGTTTATGGTATTTTGTTATAGCAGTTTGAGGAGTCTCTCTCTCTCTCTCTCTCTCTCACACACACACACACAAAAAAAAAAATCTTATACTAATAAACTAGTTCACATATTTTTCAAAAAACACCACTTACTAAAGTACTAAGCAAGTCAGTTCTCTAAAACTGCTCCAGATTGCTGGATTATCCAAAAAAGATTTCTGCCAAGAACAGTGCTAGCATTCCTTCACACTTACTATGCACCCGGCACAGCTCAAAGCACTCTTCTAATATCAACTAAATCCTCATAATAACCTATAGGGCATATACTATTCATATTTCTCTTTCATACAGATAAGAAAACTGGCTCAGAAAGTCTAAGGTATTTCCGAAAATAACCTTGTTAGAAAGTGGAGGCTAAGGATTCATTCTAATCATCCAAAACTTGTGTCATTATTAAAAGGCAGAAAGAACTCTTAGTTATAAGTACTGCATCTGCACCACCCCCAAGTTTTATTAGGGTGCATTTCAAAGGGGCACTCAGAGAACCTTGTCTGGAACTTGTACTGCATTATTCTAGATAAACAGAGGTACATGATTGGTCAGGTTTCCAGACCACAGTACTATAAAGGGCCTGATTATTATGCACAACATTTCTCTTGTTTATTAATTGAAAGGAGAAAGAAGAGCTGGAAAGGAAATTCATCAGTTACTAAAAGGAACATTACTATTTGCATGTATTACTTCCCTAATATAAAGTAATATGCCTGACATTAGAAAAATATGGCTACATTTGGGACATATTTTATTAACATTTATTTTTTAGTTATAGGTGGGTACAATGTCCTTTGTTTTACTTTATGTGGTAATGAGGATTGAACTCAGTGCCTCACGCATGCTAGGCGAGTGCTGTACCTATGAGCCACAACCCCAGCCCGGGACATATGTTCCTAAATGCTCACCTGCATTTTCAATAATTCCACACATTTACGTAATTTTCCAAACACATTTGAACCTGTATACTTCTCAGGACCAAAACTATACTGCTGGATCCAATTACAACCTTGTGAAAACAGCAGTTTTTCAGGAAGCTTGAAAAGGAAGAAGATTCCAACAATTATTAGTACCCCAACATTTATTATACATAATTTGGAACATGTCACAGCACATGATTTTATCTCATTTAGCATCATCTTCAGTTTAAAAGACTGAAACAATAGTAAAGTAAAAGCATATAGTCATCTTTTWAAAAATTTTGTGGGTTAAATGATTTTTTTAGATTATATTTTTACTTCATCACTTCACAATGGATAAAAACCTAAATATAGGATTATGTCCATAGAAACAAAATTTTTAGATAAAATATCATACTTCCTAGATGTTGGAAACTACTTTAGAAACTATTTTTTAGCTGGGTGCAGTGGCAAACACCTCTCATCCCAGTGACTCAGAAGGCTGAGGCAGAAGGATCACAAGTTCAAGGTGTGCCTCAGCAACTTAGCAAGACCCTGTGTCCAAAAATAAATAAATAAATAAAAGGGCTGGGGATGTACCTTAGTGGCAGAGAATCCCTGGGTTAAGGTCCCCAGAGGAGAAGACGAAGGAGAAGAAGGAAGAAGAAGGAAGGGGAAAGGAGGAGGGAGGAGGAAGGAGGAAGAAGGAGGAAGGAGGAAGGAGGAGGAGGAGGAGGAGGAGGAGGAGGAGGAAAGAAACTATTTTTAACCAAATGAAGTTAGAGACATACATCAGGAAACAGATGAATTATATAAGGACACATTCTGCAAACCAGGCTATCATTTAGCAGTTAAGAGATGACTTAACCAGGATTATTTCACCTCTTAGCCTCATCCTCCACTATAAATTAAAGATAACACGTCCATTTTGCAATGCTCTTGATAGGATTAAATAAGACCACGATGTATGTAAGAATCTAGCCCATCATAGCCATCCAATACATTTTTCCAGCTGATTCCACTTGTTGAACCCAGGGTCCCTGTCATATTCCTTGTCCTCAGCAACTAGCAGCAAGGCCAGCACAATACATACCCAACAAATATCTGCTAGATAAAACAGAAATTAAAAAAGAAGTTCAGATAAAAGATGTTAAATAAAGATCACGTGTGCGCACACGTATGTGTGTGTGAGTGTGTGAGTGTGTGTGTGTGTGTGTGTGTGTGTGTGTGTGTGTGTAAGAGAGGGAGAAAGAGAAGGAGAGAGCTATCTAGGTATCTAGATAGGTGCCTATATAGATACCTAGACAGCTAGATCTCTACATCACATGCTTCATGTTTCTTTGCTTCTCCATTCTAGATTAGGCATACCACATTCAAAATAAAAATTCAGGTTGTTCATTAAGAATGTACTGCCATAATCCTTAAGAAAACAACAAAACAAGCCACAGAATAGGAGAAAATATCTGCAAATCACACAGCTCAAAAAGTGTGTCTACTCATAAAATATAAAGAATTCTCAAAACTCAACAATAAGAAAATAAACAACCCAATTAAAAATGACCCAAAGATTTAAATAGACAAGATGATTTTCCAAGATGATAAGATGAACAGCAATTAGGGACATTAAAAGATGGCCACTATCACTACTACTCACTAGGAAATGCAAACTAAAAGTACAATGGTAYCAGTACATACCTATTAGAATGACTAAACCAACCAACCAAACAAAAATCTCACAATACCAAATGCTGGTGAAAATGTGGAGCAACTGGAACTCATGTAGTGCTGGTGGGAGTGAAAAATAACCAAGTTGCTTTGGAAAATAGTTTTGCAATTTCTTATAAACTTAAACATATACTTACCAAACCATCTTGCAATCTAATTCCTAGATGCTTGCCCAAGGAAATATAAACTAATATTCATAAAGATCTGTATAAGAATATTTAAAATAGTTGTCAAGCACTGGAAACAACCCAGATGTCTTCCAATAGGTGAATGGATAAACTGTGTAACATTCACAAGAAGGAACACCACTCCACAATGACAAGAGAGGAACCACAAATTTACAGAACAACATGGATGAACTACAAATGCATTTTGCTAAGGGAAAGAAGTCAGATTCAAAACACGCATACTAATGGCTCCAATCAGATGACAAGCTGGAAAAGACAAAATTATAAGGACAGAAAACAGATCAAGGTTGCCAGGTGCTAGAGTGGGAAAGAAAAGTGACTTCAAAGGTATACAAGAGAATCTGTGGGGTGGTGACTACACACTACATGCATTTGTTAAAACTCATTTAATGCAGAGTAAAAAAGTGAATTTTACTAGATCACCTTACTTATGAGGGACAAATTCGCTCAAGAAAAGACGAGGGTATTGAAAACAAATGAACAGGGGCTGGGGTTGTATCTCAGTGGTAGAGTACTTGCTTAGCACATGTGAGGCACTGGGTTCAAGCTTCAACACCACATCAAAATAAATAAATAAAATGAAGGTATTGTGTCCATCTACCAAAAAAAAAAAAAAAAAAAACCAGAAACAGATGAACAAAATTGAGTATGACTAGCTTTCTGAGATAGTTAATTTTCAAACTGACTTAGAGGATAGATTAAATGGCCTTTCAAAGTTCCTTCAATATCATGATGCTCTGAGTACAAAGCCATGCTGAGAAGACTAGGAGCTTCTGAGTTGTGGTTACTGTCCACATAACATTCCCAGGTCCCCAGTGTGAAGACATACCTTAACAATATCTTTTTCTTTCATCCAGGATGGAAAAGAGAGGCCTTGGCTAAATATCTGAAATAACACTGATCTTAGAGCATCATAGTTATCTCTCTTTACTTGTCGAACACATTTAATATGGTGTCTCCAAAAGAGCTCCTCATAAGCCTATTAGCATAGAAAGAAAAATGTTTCATTAATTACACTGGATAACAGAATGAAGAAAGTGAATTTAGCTGGCTACAGGGGCCACACCTATAATCTCTGAGACTCAGGAGGCTGAGATGGGATGATCACAAGTTTGAAGCCAGCCACCAAAACTTAGAAAGACYCTGTCTCAAAATAAAAAATAAAACCAGGCACAGTGGCAACACCTATAATCCCAGTAGCTYAGGAGACTAAGACAGGAGGATTTTGAGTTCAAAGCCAGCCTCRGCAACAGCAARGAACTAAGCAACACAGTGAGACTCTGTCTCTAAATAAAATATAAAATAGGGCTGTGGATATGACTCAGTGGTTGAGTGCCCTTGAGTTCAATCCCTGGTACCAAAAAAATAAAAATAAACAATAAAAAAGGGYTGAAGATATGGTTCAATGGTAAAGTGCCCTCTGGTTCAATAGCAAGTACCAAAAAGAAAAAAGAGAAAAAAAAGTGAATTCAGTGGACATACTGAGAAAATATTATTTTCAGTGAGATACTCCTCCCAGTTAAAGTGGACAGCAGAAACAATGATAAAATTCTGATTACGGCTGCATGTAATTTAATTTTAAAATGATCTCATGTGTTACAGTCTGTTCTAGATGACAAATCCTGGAAGTCTAGGGCAGGTCATTTTGGACAAACCTAATCACAAAACTACTGCATGCTTTTAAGAGCATGCTAAATGTACTTTAAATGTACCCCTCCCTCCTTTTGCTTTTGCTGGTGACAAGATTGGACAGCATTGTTGGGAATATTTGCCAAGATTAATTCAATGGAAAATCCTAAAACTCCTCAAAATATTGATGTGAGGGTACTTGATTCCTTCAAGAAGACCCTCTGTTGCACATGAAAACGTTTAGTAGGTGGGCCAGGAGAGACCTGAGAATGGAACAATGCTCAAGGGGTTTCTGACATTACAACCTGGTTTACCTAACTCCTTAAAGGCACAGATTTTTAGGTTAAAGACCTAATGCCAACATCTAGCATCTGTGTGGCTTCTGAATTAGAGCCACCATTGTTACTTGCATCCCACTGGTATTGGCTGATCTCTGGATTCAGTAAAGCAGAATGGAATATTTCCTGATTTTGACAGTCTATGTCTTCCATAACCTCTGTAAACAGACACACCTTCCTCATCAGTTTGGCACGGGGTGTTTCTCCTTTCCATTCTCTTGCACAATAACTGAGTAAATCAACTTCCGCCTCCACACTGAGGTTCCCTGGACCAAATCAAAATAAAAGGCAGTTAATTTTCCCATTCTCCTCCCTTTATGACCCTTCTCTGCACTTTAAAAAATAAAAATCTGCATAAAATATTTACTTTTGAATTTTCTCTGGAGATATCCAATCCACCTGAAAAATAAAAGGGAATAATAATGTCAAAATTATGCTTCRGATAGTGAAATATTTTTGAAATTGAAATATGACACAATGACCTACCATTTCAGCCAGTGCTCTAAATATAAATGCAGCCTTCTGAAATAGCAGAGGGTGGCCACCAACAGTGAAACTGCCAACATCACAGAGCCCTTTGCYATTCTCCAGGCAGTATCTAGGGCCTGGCTTGTAACTAGTGTCCAGGAGTGAACTTGGTCACTTTCTACAATTTAAAAAAAAAAGTACATCACAATTAAACATCAGCTTTAAGTAAAACACACACATTTACACACACATAGTAATTTTGCTGCAAAGTGTCTATCCTCAATTTACATAACTATTTTTATTTAAAAATTCAATCCAAAAATTGAAGAAACATCTAGTTCTCTCATAATCAGTGTCATATATAAGAACATATTCGCTGGGCTGGGGATGTGGCTCAAGCGGTTGTGCGCTCGCCTGGCATGCGCAGGGTGCTGGGTTCGATCCTCAGCACCACATAAAAATAAAGATGTTGTATCCACCAAAAAAATTAAAGAAGGAAATTGAGCATTAAGAGCATGGATTTTACAATTTCTAACTCAAAACTTGCTTAGCCATGTTACAATTTTACTTAGCCATATGACTACAGCAACCTAACCCATCCTATCCTAATTTAATTGATTATAAATGAGGGTGAAAATACTGACCCTGCTGGGGAACAGTGAAATGAAATACTAAAGCATCAGCACAATGTTTGACAAAGACTTGGCTCTTGTTGAATAGCTGAATTCATAAACAATTTTAGAAATTCAGTTCAGCACCAGGTRCACTGCAGACAATCAATCCAGTTGGCCTTTTGGGATCCATGTCTGCCTAATGCTATATTTTTTAATCATTATGGGTTATAATATATGGCATCACCTTAGTAACACAAAATAGCAGGAACACAGACATCATTTCCAGAAAGTGAATCTTGTACAATAAGAGCCATGAAATGGCTCCAAACATGCTGCTTGTGACATAACACTGCAATTTCTGATTTGACAAGGGGAAAAACAGGCCTGGAGACTCAAATGGTACACATGCAACATTTTGCTGTTCAATATTGAAGATTCCTAGTTATATTTGTGTGAGCATGTAAAATGCTGAGTACGGATGAGAAAGAGGTCATCTGAATAAGGGCCAAACCTCCTGGGGTTTGTTGCAAAATAATTTCCTCCACAGTACACAATTTAGTAAAATTCCAGTGATCAACTATAGTGAAACACTTGTCAATATGGAATCTACAATTCTGGCATTTTTGATCATCTGGACATTTGATATACATTTGTACTCTCAATAAATAATTTACCAGCAAATGAAAAACTATATATTTCTAGTTACTTAAAATGACTTTTTCAAACAAGTACCTATTTAGAAGAGTTAATTAGCTTTTCAAATCATTGTTATATTTACTACCACCTAGAAATTTAGTCAAACATTTTGTTTAAAAACATAAGGCTGTAGTGCCTTTACATCTATAATTTAGATTTTTATTAACTGAGACAGTCTTCTAAACTTTGAAAATTCTAACACAAACACTTTTAGTAAATCCTTAAATCTATGGWGAACTAGAATGGGGTCTATGTAATACATAATTCTTCAACTGTAGCTGTAAATATCTCTTAAGTGGAACATTCACATAACTTATTTTCTCACTCTAAAGCCAGGCACTTTTCCTGTCAATGTCACTTTCCCAGTGAATGCACAGTACTCTAGAGCAGAGATTGTCCTGTATGGAAGTTGCGGYCTTACTGACAAATGTCTGGATTGTTTCCCACTTCTCACTTTTACAAACAATGCTGTGGCAAACATTCCTTTCAACAGTCCTTGAGGAGTCATGTTTGCTTTTTTTTTTTTTAATATAATTTCAAGAAGAGGAAATGCCAGGTCAAAGGGTGTACACATTGTTGGCTTTCACAGAAGCTGCCTTCAAAAACAACTCTGCCAATTACCAGCACTCCCACCACGTGTGTGAAAGCACCACTCCCCCTAGGCCTCCTTAGAATTTCCTATTCAGGCTGTGTCTCTGTAAACTCACGAGATTGGGATTCTCCTGTGTGTTCTCACCATTCACCTTTCTTCTTCCCCAAAGGGCCTTTTTAGAGCAACTGCCATTAGCCACAGAGTAGTGCTCCTGAGTGTGTGGACATGGAGGGCTTGCAGCCATGAAGGGATTGGCTGCTGTCTCGGATATGGGCATGTACTCTCATTTGTCACAGACCATGTGACCTGCTGCATTCATTCAAGTACCACCTAACTCCTCAGGGCACGTCCCCTAAACATAGGTCTCTCCTGCAGCTACCCAGGCCTCCATGGGGACCTACCATAGAAGATGGCTCTCCCTGCTTGCACCTAAATGCTTTCAATGTCTCTCTCTTTCTTCCTCCCTCCCTCTCCCCCCCCCTCTCTCTCTCTCACACACACACACACACACACACATTTCCCAACCCTTCACCCTTATCCTCCAAATAAACCCTACCTGCATACCCAGGACAGAAATATGTGAGATGATCAACTTACCAGAAAACAACCCTAGAATATAAGCCTGTAATTTGTGTATACACAAAATATGTGTGTATATTTTGTATATGCACATATATACAAAAATGTATATTCTCATATTTTTTTGGTCAAATAACTCAAGCCAAGAAAGGCCAGAGAAGGTAGCCCTGGGGATACTGGTATGGGTATCAGGGAACTATCTGGAGGTCGCAGGAAGGGGACTTTGTAGTCATGGGTGAGTGGGCCATGGCCATTATAATTACGTATAGGATCTGAACAAGCTATGTGCTAATGGTACCAGGAATGGGGCTTCTAAGGAGAGGAAGAGCCATGTTTTAGCAAGAAAAAGTGTAACTTCACTAATAATTAAAATGGTTACAATTTAAACTGCTAAGTGTCAGCCCTGTGCTAAGCATTTTAYAGAGATTATCCCATATTCCTATGAACCATGCTGTGCATCTTATAGTAAGGAGGACTTGGAGTCTGATACAATGGTTACCAAGTTGGTCCTGCTCACAGAAGCATGAGACAAACAACTTCCTCTCCCTCCATTTTAATCTCTAAACCCAGGTATGAAGGTAGTACATAACAGAGCATGGTATATAGGAAGTGTTCAATGCAGGGTAACTCTCTTTTTCTTGATTTGTTCTAATTAGTTATATATGACAGTAGAATGCCTTTTGACACTTCATACATAAATGGAGTATAACTTCTCATTCTTGTGGTTGTACACAATGTAGAATTACASTCATTGTGCAATCATATATGCACACAGGGTAATAATGTCTGATTCATTCTACTATCAGTCCTACCCCCCATACCCCCTTCCCTCCCTTTACTCCCTTCTACCTAATCCAAAGTACCCCAATTCCTCCCTAGCCCCCACAGGTTGACTCTTGTTACCATCACTACATCACAATGCAGGGGGCACAGAGTACCTGACTCTCAGAACTGCATTAGGGCTCAAAGGAGACATCAGGCAAAGTGCTTAGCTCAACATCTCTCACATTATTAAGTACCCAATAAGCACTAATTATTATTTTTACTTATTACCTGAATCATCTTTATTTTACAGGAAAGAAAAGTRTTAGGGAAAAAAAAGACTGAATAATTGCCTGGAAGAATCAGGTGGAACTAGACTCCAAAGACAGGACAGATGCAATGTGAGAAGCTACYTGCTTTAGACTTTGCTGTACTATGAATTATGGAGCTGAGTAAATCTTCAAGGCAAGTTTGCTACAGCAAAGAGAATTAAGACTCTTTAAAAGAAAATTTTAAAGTTTTAAAAAATTCATAAAAGAGAAAGAAACATCCTACAGACATCTTGCAAAACAGTATCTTGATAACAATTCAGGTGATCTCCTGAGTGGAATCTCATTTTTCCAAATACAGCTGAGAGAGAGTAACATTTTGGACATCAGGAGGTTCAGACAGTCCCCTTTTCTGCTAAGGAGAATTCTGCTGTCATTAGCCCAGCTACCTAAACCCTGACCCCRGAGAAGTGCGCACCCATCTGAGAGGGTCCCTGTGCTTGATGAAGTACAAAGAGAGGGAAAGTCCCACCTCTGCATGTTCAGTCATCCTAGGTAATGGAAAGAACAAAAGGGAGTGTGGGTAGAGCAAGTCTGGGCAAAGAAGAATCTCTACAAAGTGTAGGTTGCAAGAGGAGGCAGAAAAGAGAGATGTTGCCAGGAATTATAGATTGATATTATTAGTGTCTATCAAGAGACACAGAAAAATGAAATTCCTTTTTAATCCTTTTGGGCTGAACCACTTGGGTGGTAGCTGAAACACATCTACATATAAATAAGTCTAAAATACAATGAATGTATTTCTGTTTCATTGAAAACAGCTTAATCACATCTTATGCATCCCCTAGCCACCAGCATCAAAGCAGGCCAAGACCCCAAAGCAAATAATCAGAAGAATCAATGCTTTGGTAGTTAAGGTGTGCCGGAGGAATTATACCAGGACCTCCTAAAAGCATCAGTGTGACTATCTCAAACTAAAACCCAATCTCTGATCACTCCAACTATAAGATCACTGAGTAGAACTTTAAGAAGGCACTGCTTTTTGTGGTAAAATTCTACCTGACTTTTTTCAATTTGCCACAAYGTAATACAGTTGAAGTGATCCAAACATTACAACAGGAAACCAGTTAAAAGAAAAAAAGAACTAAACCCTGAAAACAAAACTAAAAGATGCTGAAGAGCCAAAAAAGAAGTGATCAGCAGTTCTACCCAGGGCTGTGGGCTCCCAGTGGAGTGGATGTCACAGTCTTGCTCAGGGAAACTCAGCAGCACTGGATTTGCCTCTGAAACTCCCAAGGCTGCTCCAGCCCAGGACTGCTAATTCTTTACTCTACTTCCTCATACRCTGCCACAGTCTTCAACCTCATCTACTTCCCCTTCCAATCCAATTCATGGCCCAACATGCAGTACAATGGAGCTTCCTCCCTATATATGTCAACACATCAACTGCTTCCAGCCCAGTGACTTCCTCCTAAGTGGGCCAGGAAGGAGGACATCAAACCTGAGCAAGAAGGGTGGAAAAGGCAACTTCATATAGATGTTAGAGGTAGCAGAGGAAGTAAAGAGACAGACATACAGTAAAATCTCCTTGTTTAAAATTTTTCAGGTAAAAGCACTATATTTAATAAACAAAAGATATTGCTATCTGCTTCAATGCCATAATATA